ACAGACGCCCCGCCACAAAAGGTCAAATTTCTGGATGAACCATTTGTCTTCTCCTATTTCAACGATGTGGCGTGCAACCCAGAGGTTTTTGAGTTGGTTGGAGAATGCGAGGAGGCCATATTTAAGGCATTGGTCAATGTCCACAAGTACATGGGCAGGTGGAAGAGATTCAGGCCATTGTGGAGGAGCGATAAGGTGACCAGTGTATGAGTGTGTATGTGAGGCGGTTGGGGGGGGGGGAGAGGGAGGGGGAGAGGTTAAGGCCCCAATTAGAAATTCTACTTGTACAAACAACCACTTGTATTCTGCTGGCAGGAGTTGCCCCTGTGGAATGATCCCCTGCCGGAAGTTCCACTACCATATTTAAGGCATTGGTCAATGTCCACAAGTACATGGGCAGGTGGAAGAGATTCAGGCCATTGTGGAGGAGCGATAAGGTGACCAGTGTATGAGTGTGTATGTGAGGCGGTTGGGGGGGGGGGGAGATGGAGGGGGAGATGTTAAGGCCCCAATTAGAAATTCTACTTGTACAAACAACCACTTGTATTCTGATGGCAGGAGTTGCCACTGTGGAATGATCCCCTTGCAGAAGTTCCACTTGTAGTGTATCTACTTCTGATTATCATTGAGATCTCATATTTCTACTTGTAGTGTATCTCCCTCTGATAATCATTGAGATCTCATATTTCTACTTGTAGTGAATCTACTTCTGATTATCATTGAGATCTCATATTTCTACTTGTATTGTATCTACTTCTGATTATCATTGAGATCTCATATTTCTACTTGTAGTGTATCTACTTCTGATTATCATGGAGATCTCATAATTTGGTATACAGATTAGTTTTATGGTATATTTTCATCTTTAAAAGTGTGGCCTATTTTGAGGAGGACTGTTTTTGTTTCTATTTTGTCCTACATTTCCCTGCTAGTCTACAGTGTATACAGCTTAAAGTTTAGGCACACAGTCAAACTGTTGAAGCTTTCCTTCATTGAATAGAAACCCTCATAGCAAAAAAAAAAAAAAAAATTCATAAAAGATCTAACCCCCCAAAAAAAAGGCACACAGTCAAACTGTTGAAGCTTTCCTTCATTGAAAAGAAACCCTCATAGCAAAAAAAAAAAAAAATGTCATCAAAGATCTAGCCCGCCAAAAAATAGTTAGTAGTTTGCTTTAATGATTGGAGTATGCTGACAGAACAAAAGTTTTACAATTGGCTGTTATAGGTTTTTGTTTTTAAAAAAAAAAGATTGAAACTTTCTCTCCAGGAGGAACAGCTAGACAAATGGCTCCAGAAGAAGAGAACGGCCATTGATTTTGACAGCAAATTTCAACATTATGAAAAGTCCATTGAGGAGATTATGAAAAGGGAGCAGGAAAAGGTGAGGCAGAAAAATCAGTTTTAGACAATAGGCAGTTCAAGCAGTAATAGGCAATAGGCAGTTCAAGCAGTTATAGGCAATAGGCAGTCCAAGCAGTTATAGGCAATAGGCAGTCCAAGCAGTTATAGGCATTAAGCAGTCCAAGCAGTTTTATACAATAGGCAGTACTGGAGGTTATAGACAATAGGTTCAATAGGCAGTCCAAGCAGTTTTATACAGTAGGCAGTCCACGCAGTATATAGACAATAGGCAGTCCAAGCAGTATATAGACAATAGGCAGTCCAAGCAGTATATAGACGATACAACTTTTGGCATTTTTAAAATTAATTTTTTTAAACAAGATATAAACATTCAGTTATAGCAAGTGTTGCGATAGGATTGTAGGACTGTTGTGGCCATTTTCAGTTGCCGTGATTTGAACTCCAGACCATTTTCATACTTATACAGTATCTTATTGACCATGCCAAAAAAGGGAAAAGTAAATTTGAAAAAATAAATATGATCAACTCTCTATATGACCATGACATCCAATTTTTTGTAAATTGTCCAATTAAAAATTGTCTTTTTTATTCTCAGGCCATTGGTTGTATTTTCTTAAGTACAGAGCCCCTGGCCGACGCAGCAGTCAAACATGGACGTGAATGGATCAGATTACTTGGCAAGAAGCTTCACACACAGGCGTACACCAAGCTGTTATCTATACAGGACGAAATGATGGTAAGCTGTGGTCATACAATTATTTAATATTGAAAAAATTCTACATTCTACATTCCCACATGAACACATTTTTAACGTTCAAACATTTTCTAATTTATATCTTTTATAACTAAAAGACCACAATTTGTATTTTCCTTAGGTGTGTTCAGAGTTTGATTATTTGACAATTGTAAATGTTACTCTTATACATAAGTCTTATATGCACGAGTAATAAACTGCAATAAGTTTAAGCTTCATGCCAACTATTTATTCAGGACAAGGCATCAGACCTGGAAGACTCAACAGATAACCTTGATGAGCTGAAATCTGTACTAACCACCATTCAGAGCATCAAGGACAACTTGCTGATGTGGGAGACCAGGTGGCGGGCAGTCCAAGAAGAGTACCGCACCCTGGTCATGTATGGAATACCAGTAAGTTGTTCAGTGGTTCTGTGAGGAAGTAGGAAGGCAACAATTATGGTTTATTTATTTATTTATTTATTTAGGCATTTTTATATAGCGCTTATCATAAAGCTCTAAGCGCTTTACAGTTATTAAAACATGTAAACTAAGTAAATACAAATGAGACACTAGGATAGTAACTACTATTCTATAGAAACAATGAAAATGGCTATAAAAAGAGGACACTTTGACACTTCAGGATTAAACCGAAACAGAAAATTAGGTAGGGCAAGGAGGGTGCATCACAGGTCATAGGCGGACCTAAACAGATGAGTTTTAAGGGACTTTTTGAAAATGGACGAGGTTTCACTATGACGTATATGGAAGGGGAGCTGGTTCCAGAACGTGGGCCCATGGAAGCAGAAGGAGCGTTCACCGATGGTCTTAGTTTTAGTTCTTGGGATTGAGAGGGTTCTACTGTCAATGGAAGAACGTAGTTGTCTTGTGGGGATGTAAGGAAGCAACAGTTCAGAGAGATAGACAGGAAAGTGAGGGTCAGTGAACGAGTTGAAGCAAAGATTGGCAGACTTGTATTTGATGCGAGAGGATATTGGAAGCCAGTGGAGTTGCCGCATGTGTGGTTGAATGTGGTCATGTTTCTTTAATTTAAAAATGAGTCTGCATGCTGAGTTCTGTGCCTTCTGAAGTTTGTCTATGTGGTGTTGAGGAATGCCTGAGAGAAGAATGTTACAGTAGTCAAATTTTGAAAGAATGAGTGAAGAGACGAGAGTTTTTGTGGCATCAAAGGAGAGGAGGTGTCTAATGGTGCTGATTTTTCTAATTTCGTTATATGCTGATCTGCATATATTCGTGACATAATTCGTGGTTTCACTGAGTTATTTCAAATCGGGCTGATTCCAAATCAACGAACTGTGTGTCAACTTGTGTGTAAAATATTTTTACATTTTCATTACTTTAGATTTTAAAGTGTCTTACTTTTGGATGCTGTTTTTTCAGGGGCTGGGGAGCTTATAATTTTCCTTTGCAAATTCTCACCGTGATGCATTTATGATTTCCGCAATTTTTGTGTGTTTGTGCCACGTGTTAGAATAACCTCATCCAAGGGGAGTAAAATCCGATTTGGGTCGTTAGCATGGAACCATTCTATATGCTCATAGTTTGATTTGCAAGTTTGTTTACCATAACAACACCATCATCAGTGGCATTACAGTTCACGTGGCACCTTGGCCTGCTCCATCACGTCTTTCCGTTCGGATCAATTCATAGCTTTTCGCCTCCGCGTGGGACACCCAGTCAATCCATCTCATTCTTGGTCAACCGCTATCTGCCTGTAGATCACTATTGGTGCTTTAAAATCTGGCATCCTTTCAAAGTGTCCCGTCCAGATCTCGTGCAGTGCAGCAACAGTGATTCTACATCCTATCAATTTGTCAATGATGGGGGGCCAGCCCTCCTACTCTGTGTAGACTCAGAACATTCCAGGTCATCATCCATAAATAATTTCCTTGGTCGAAATCTATAAATATCTGTCCATATTTATTGTTTGTGATTTAACTTTCATAACGTTAGATGTTATTTTGACATGGTGATCAGCCCTGCGCACAACCATCTGGGAGGGGATGCCCCTTACAGCCCTCAGGGTAGCGTCCTTTGTTTTGGGTCAGGTCCCTAGCCTTTGTGGATCCATCCACTTCCTACAAGGCAGAAGGTTTCTGATTTTGATCCATCCTGGGTATTTTATTGTCCCGGTACCCACCATATCAAGTGGGCTTACCCTTATCCTCCACCTGGGGAGGCGCTCAATGGAAGATCAGTATCTCAGCACAAGTTATCTTTACAACAGCTTGCATAAAAAAAAATTAGAGGTTGCATTAATAGAAAAATATTATCATACACGCCTAACGAATACTTCATTAGTTTGTCATTTAGGATATTAATTATTTTATTATTTATTTTTTGGGCGTGGTTTGTGAACAACGAGTGATATTTTTACAGAAGTCTCAGACAAATGATATCCATTTAACCATCAATTTAAAAGTATTAATTGAAAGAAATATATGTTTTTTGACCTTATTTTTTAAAATGGTTATGTACACCATATTAAACCAATGTTTTTTAGGTGTCAGAAGATGAGATAAAAATGCAAGAAGATATTCCAAATGTCTACGAAACCGTGCTGCTCAAAGCTAAAAACAGAGACTGCCGTCTGGTAGTCGTCAAATCAAAGTTTAAAATGGTAAGTAAGCTTTCCTCATTCCAGAGGTCCCTAAATTTATGTTGATCGTTAATAAAAACTACCTAGACCCTAAGCTGCAGTTCTAAATTTATTAAATGAAGGCACATGAAGTGCAGTTGAGTTTGAAAGGGATAAAACATCAAACTAATTGCAGCACTTTCCTCTGCCCTACTTTCTGAAACTAACGATTTTCTGAAATACTCAATAATGCAACCGTAAAAAAAACAAGGGCATGAACATTTTTTGATTTGTCCATGTAGATAACGGAGCACCATGTGAACTCATTTAAAGATGAGTGTGAGCTTTTCTTCAACCGCTTCATGGAACAAGGCCCAGGATCTGTGGGAGAGAACTTACAATTAGGTAATGTGTTTTGACACGTTATTTTGATAAGTGAGCTATAGAAACATTTGAATGGTAAAGGTGTTTTTAGTCCTTTTCACACGTAGATGACAGACTATACTCGAGGATGGGTACGCAGGGGGCTTGCCAGTCCCTTTTGTGCCTGGAAAGCTTGCCCCCTCCATGTAGGACACACATGTTTTGTTTTGAGGTCCTAGGTGGGAGTCAATGCTGCTTTTCTTCGATGTTCGAAGCTGTTATATCTATCCCATGTTAGGTGTACCTCATATTTCCCCATTCACATTCCCCTAAAATAAATTTAAAAAATTAAAAATGAAGAGACAAAAAAGAAACAACAAAAAACACAAGCTACACCCTCCTGTCAGGTTTTATCCCCCAAAAGTCACAACCCCCCCCCCCCACCCCCAAAATCAGCTTCAGCTTATTGTCACAGCCCCATGGTATTCACTCTTGTTGTTGACCGACCTTACTGACCCTCACAGGCAACACCTTGATGCAGAAGTTCACTGAGGAGGCAGATGAGCTGGAGGAAAAGCGCCTTGACCTCGCCCTGGCAGAGAAGCTGTTTGAGTTGCCAATCACCGTCCATGAAAAACTCATTGAAGTCAAGAAACAGCTGGCCGGACTTCATTTGATCTACAGCTTGTATAGAGAACAGGATGTGAGTTATTTTATAAGTGGTCCATGTTGGAAGCTTTGTATGTGATGTGATTTATATGTATGTTAACAAAGTATTCTATTTATGTGGTTGTTGTTGAATGTTTTTTTTTTGAGAAAGTTTTTTGTAATTGTGTTGGTGTTATGGTATATTTTCAACTGACTCACTTAATGTTTTTTTTTAATTATTCACATCTCATCAGGCTGCTAAAAACAAGTGGTCAGAGACTTTGTGGCCCGACCTTGACATTGATGTGCTTAGTAAAGGTATTGAAGACTTCATCAAGCAGCTGAGGAAGCTGCCCAAGTCTGTGAGGTCACTACAGGCTGCAGTGTCTCTCGACCAGCAGATGAAGCAGTTCAAGTGAGTTGTCTGCACTTGGCTTTTTAAAAAAATTAAGTCATTTCTCAATAAAAATTTGGAAATTGGAGAGTTTCTTTTCTGGAAAGAACAAAGGTCATCAAACAGTCTGTTCGTCACAATAAACCTTGTGACGATGGCTACAAACAGAATTCATCAATGTTTTCTTAATAACCAAAACTGTGACGATGGCTACAAACAGAATTCATCAATTTCTTCTTAATAACCAAAAACTTGTCTCCACCAGAGATTCCTTGCCACTCATTGTGGATCTCAAATGTGATGCCCTTCGTGATCGCCACTGGAAAGAGCTGATGATCAAGACCGGCCAGGAGTTCGACATGAATCCCAAGACGTTCACTCTGGCTGGCATATTCAACATGAAGCTCTACCGTTTCTCTGCACTTATTAATGAGATTGTGATGGCAGCAACCAAGGAGATGAGCATTGAAAAGGTCTGAGAATAGAGTTCATTCAGACAGCAACAGCAAATTATATCTATTTGGATTTAGCTCATTAGAATCTTATGAATATCAACCAGACGTAGTAAAATTAATTAAAAATTTTTTAAATTTTTTTTATAAAAGTATCGACTGGCTACAATGCAACTGACAAATTTTGCAACTGAAATTTATTTCCAAATAGTACAGCTTTTATAAAATATCTGATGCCCCAACTATCCCCCTCCAGCTCATTTGACCTATAGGGCAGCTGTTTTCAATATTTTACTACTAAATCACACCAAAGACTATTATTTAAACTACTATTACACACCATTCAAGTATTAAAAAAAAATGTTGTCTGCTTCTGTGATGAGTAGTGTGCAAGAAAATTGTTCTTATCTTCTTATAAGATTAGATTGACTGTATGGTATGTTCCATCTTATCTTCATAATTAGATTAGATAGACTGTATGGTATGTTCCATCTTATCTTCATAATTAGATTAGATAGACTGTATGGTATGTTCCATCTTATCTTCACATTAGATTAGATTGACTGTATGGTATGTTCCATCTTATCTTCATAATTAGATTAGAAAGACTGTATGGTTTGTTCCATCTTATCTTCATAATTAGATTAGAAAGACTGTATGGTATGTTCCATCTTATCTTCATAATTAGATTAGAAAGACTGTATGGTATGTTCCATCTTATCTTCATAATTAGATTAGAAAGACTGTATGGTATGTTCCATCTTATCTTCACATTAGGTTAGATTGACTGTATGGTATGTTCCATATTATCTTCATAATTAGATTAGAAAGACTGTATGGTATGTTCCATCTTATCTTCATAATTAGATTAGAAAGACTGTATGGTATGTTCCATCTTATCTTCATAATTAGATTAGAAAGACTGTATGGTTTGTTCCATCTTATCTTCATAATTAGATTAGAAAGACTGTATGGTATGTTCCATCTTACTTTGCAAGTAAAATGTTTTTTCACTTTGATTTTTTAAATAAAAATTTTGTTATACCTAGGAACACCTTCTCAATAGATTTCTCCTCCTTGATTTCACTAGTTTCTATCTTAGTGATATCTTAAAAGTCTAGTAATAACACATTTAATCTACCGATGTGAGGCTTACATTCTGTGCCCTTGAATGAAGTCAAAATGAAAACAAAATTGCACTTTGTTTCCCAGGGTATCAGTGATGTGGAGGAGATGTGGAAAAAATCCAAGTTCATTGTCTTGCCATTCATCAAAGGGAACAGAAAATCGCACATTCTGGGGCCGGTTGATGAGATCATGCAAAACCTGGATGACTCAGGGGTCAGCTTGCAGAATATGTCAGCATCCCGATTCATTGGTCCTTTCTTACCTATTGTACAATCCTGGGAGAGAGCTTTATCAAAGATTTCAGAAGTTCTTGATGTAAGTTAGATCATTTGAGTTAAAAGGGTTTTTTTTTTTTTTAAATTGAAAAAAAAAAAAAAAAAAAAATTCACTGATGTTAAATAGACTTCATTTCAAATTTTTTATTGCTATTCTGGTTCACCAATCTGCAAGTATGTTGTGAAACTTCTGTCATCTAATAATTTATGTTAGGTCTGGCTACAAGTGCAGAGAAAATGGATGTATCTAGAAGGTATCTTTGGTAGCGGTGACATCAGCAAGCAACTTCCAGAACAGGCGAAGTTCTTTGAGAAGATAGACAAACAGTTTAAAAAGGTGAGGGCTTCTGTTGAAAGTATTTCCTGTGAATCCTGTGTGGTAATTCCTAAAAAAATGCTTGCTTCCACATTTATCTGCTCAATGTGACCTTTAACATTAGTTGTATTATTATCTGCAGGCAGTTATTAAATTATGGGCCATGTGTGAAGCTAACAGATAGATCACAAATAAAACTTGTCTGTTGGTAGAATTAAATATTGAGTTACTGGCATAGAGAAAGGAGATCACTTGATGGTTAGAACTTGTGTTTACTGGAATCTGTATAATCTCTGTGATTAAGCTTAGTGCTGTCTCAGAGATAATCTTGTATTGTAGGTTTGATGAATCTGTACAACATAAGTCTACTTCTTGTCTGTTATGCACTATAACCATACATTGATATAGAACTGCCAAGTATTGAATGGTGTGCACCAATAATTGCTAAGTGCAAACAATATGTTTTGTTCAGTATTTTGAAAAAAAATGAAGAAAATAAAAGTGTACACCCCATGACAGATATACAAAATTAGCAATTTTCCTTAGTAAGGGTTAACCAGGATTTATGTAGTGTATCATACAGATTACAGCAGCATGGCCAGCCCCAGTGGCCTCACAGCCATAGGATCATGAGTCGGCTCTTTGCTGCCACGGGTCATTATATATGTGAAATAAAAGGAAACACAAAATAAACATCGTGTATTATAATTTATAATTTTTTTTTTTTCAATGCACATAGTTCCCAAATGAAAACACTTCTACACTTGCCGACACACATGAAAAAAAAATTGTATAGACTTTCATGGAGCTAAAGTCAAAGTTATGCATTTTGAACAATTCTTAATTTAGTTTTTGCATCATCCTGCAATTTCTAGGAGAGCAATAGAAGAAATTCTAGTGGAAATATAAAACTTGATATGGTGGTGTTTATACAAATCTTTTATTTTAGTTAAGATATGAGATCAATTATTTGAATTGAAATTATTATTTTAAAAAATATGTATGTGCCATACAGGCAAAAAAAAAGAAGAAGAAAAACCACAAATTTTATGAAGAAAGCAGTTCATTTTTTATGCACAAGGCGGGCAGCAACATTTAAATTAAAGGTGTTGGGCAATTTGCATTGACAACTGTTGAGTGTGACAGTCTCACCGTTTGGTTGACAGCAACTGTTGCTATAATATTTTAATTATGTGTAAATTAAAAGAGAAATTAAAAATAATTGTAAAAAAACGTAACATATTTTCAATATTAAATTTACTGGTGTCCCTATTTTTTCTGCAAACATCATGGATGCTGCACGGACACAGCTTAAGAGGTAGCATTGGTGCGCAATCACATAACTTGTTGAATTTTCATTATTTATAGCTTAATTTTAGGAGCTTACACTACAAAATATCACAATAGGCCAGTTTGGGATTTCTTTATTAACATTTTATATGGCTAGCTCTTTAGTTATTGCTTTCTGTAGAATGATAGTAAAATCGTTATTCAAATAGTGGAAATATTAAAAAAAAAATAAAAATCTGTTACTGACAGCTGTTACAACAAACTTATATTCATTAATTTCTAAAAAAACAATTCAACTACATGCAGATAATGGAAATGACTAATGACAACCCAAATATTAAACAAGCCACCCACGTGGAAGGCCGTTTCGATGAACTAGTTTCACTCTCGCTTGGTCTTGAGAAATGTCAAAAATCCCTTAACGATTACCTAGACTCCAAGAGAAATGCCTTTCCAAGGTAATGTTTGTGGGGATGTCATCATAAGACAAGAAAAAGATTATAAAGTCGTTTGTATTAGAGAAAGCTTATCTGGAACCCAATCAACATTGTTTTAACTGTCACACCAAGAAGTTAGCCTTTGCTTCACCATTGGCCACAGATCAGGGCTAGCGGCAGGGAAATTATTAATGCTGAGCATCACCAAAAATAAGCGCTTCACTCCAAAACCTAGGAGAGTCTGCCTAAGCCTTGTAGAAATTTTAGCCTTGTAGAAATTTTAGCCTTGTAGATATTTAGCCTTCAACATCCACTGTCACAAATTGTATTTTAGGTGTTAACCGAAGTATTCGTTTGTTACAGAGGTAAAAATGGCAGATAAGTCCCCACAGTGGATACTCACTAACATGATGCATATTTACCCTTGGTGCTTGTCGTGTCTTTTAGATTTTGGCTCGTTTGCCTGGAGTTTTGCTTTTTTCCTTAATTAAGCTTTAAAAAAAAGAATTAAACAATAAAGATGACATACATTATATTTCCAGATTTTTCTTCATTTCGGACGATGAGCTTCTCAGCATTCTTGGTTCTTCTGATCCTGAATGTGTCCAGGAGCATATAATTAAGGTTAACTTAAAATTCAGATATGTGCTTAACTGGGCAATGGTGGCTTTTAATCTATCTCCCCCACAGTCAGAGCCATGTTAAATTAACCAAACCAGTCTCTTAACAATCATGCAGAATTTTGTTGTAGTTGAAACGTGAATGAATGCATTAAAAATGTAAAGGCAAGACTTCCTTCCCATTTTAGAACTCAACACAAAACTATAAATTACATTGAAATAAAATCCTGCAAGGTATGATTATCATTGCAAAAGGAGTTTCATCTAAACAAATGTGTCGCTAATCAATTAAGGCCTGAGAGGGTTTGATACAGACATGCTGTCCTTGTTTAAATGCTTTTAAGCAATCAACAAATATAGCATCTACAGCATCTTAGTTTTAAATCCATCTATAGCACTCCCTTTTTAGGGCCTAAACTAATTTATTTAAAAATAAAACAATTTTTTGTTGCTAAACTTCTTTTCAAATTTTTAAAAAATCTGTGCAGGTTTGGAAGTCAGTAAAATTGTAAAAATTCCAAATCATAAACTATAACTGTGAACAAGGAGCTTTATTCAAATAATTTGATTTGTGATCAATAACTAGGTATTGTATACACTTTATATATATATATATATATATATATATATATATATATATATATATATATATATATATGTATTATATATATATAAATATATTATATACATTTTATATATATATATATATATATATATATATATATATATATATATATATATAAATAACTAGGTATTGTATATATATAAATAACCAGGTATTGTCTATACATTTGTTGACACCGACAGCTGACCTAAATTTCCTGTATGCACAGATGTATGACAACATTGCATCCTTGAGTTTTATGAAGAACCCCATGAACCCCAAAGACCTGATGGTCACGGCCATGGTCTCGGCAGAGAAGGAGGTCATGAAGTTCAGGGCCTTCATCTCATCCAGTGACAGGGTGGAGAACTGGATGACCAGCGTGCTGCAGGAAATGAGGCGCACCAACAGACTCATCACCAAGGAGGCGATATTCTACTACAGCTACAATAAGACAAGGTGAACATAAGGGGGGCCGGGGGGGGGGGGGGGGCACCGCATGTCTTTCAAAAGGGGGGGCCACATGATTTCTGTCGTCAATAAAACATATATGGCCGGAATTTCTCTTAGTTGTTTATTTATTGTAAAGGTTTTGAAATTTGAAAAGAAAACTTCAGCAACAAAATTCCCATTCCTAAAAAAAAAGCAGTGATTCTCAGACTGTTGGATTTACATCACCAGTGTTACATTATGTTATTCAAGGTGCTTCATAGAAATGTGATAAAAACCAAATACATATTTACTCATATCCTTTTCAAATTGCTATGCTCATTGTGATAGATTAATTTTTAAGGTAATTAGGTGATAAAAAAAACACCTTCTCTAAAGAATTAGGATCATGAGTTCTATTTTGCCAGCTCCTTTTCTATAATTGAATCATCCTGAAATTTTGTATTGTATTGAACTGAGTGTATTTTTGGTCTGATTCCAAGATTTATACATCGTCATAATGTTTCATTATGAATATTTATGTGCTTATCTTTTATTTGATAAGTCTATCCCTTATGGCATGTCAAGAGTAAAGATGACCCATAGTTGACTCCCATGTTGTAAGAAACAATGCTGAATATAGTTCTAGAGTTTACAATATTTTAAGTGCTAAAGATTACCTTTCCCGTTTTCTGCAACTCAGGGCTGACTGGATGCTGGACTACCAGGGAATGATTTGTCTGGCAGCCAGCCAAGTGTGGTGGACCTGGGAGGTGGAGGATGTATTCAGGAAGATCAAGAAGGGAGGGAAGACAGCACTGAAGGATTATGCTAAGAAGATGCACACACAGATTGATCAGCTGGTTGTCAAGGTAATCATCCTGGCCTTGACCTTAAGTTGATGGATGTGTACCATTATGCTGTGGTGCTAACTTTAACAAAATTAGGGAAATACACAGGCTATAACAATCATCATTATATGGAAAACAGAGTGAGAGAAGAAGAATTTTGTTGAAATTATTTCCCAGAGTATTTCTTTTTAAAGCTGTTTATTTGAATGTTTATTGCTATATGGCTAGATACGTTCCAAGTTGGACAAAAATGACCGAAAGAAATACAACACTGCCCTCATTGTTGATGTCCACGCCAGGGATATTGTGGACGGATTCGTCCGAGACAGGTAACACCAGGTTGCAGCAATATTGCTTTTAAAAAAAATCATCACCTCGATGGATGAACCATCAATATTTTCTCCTGGCGATTTAAACCTTGTGGGGTAATGTTAAAATAGAAAAGTTTATAGGATCAGAAGGCAGCTAATTTACCTTGTGGGGCAGGGGATACGACTACTGCCAGATATTTATTAAAAGCCTCAAGACTCGGAAGGGCAACAACAACAACCCGGAATTATAAAAGTCAATGATTTACAGAACAATTTTTTAAAAACATTTTCATCTTCAGATAAAATGCCATTGCAGCCTTCTGCTATAATGTTATAAAGCTTTCCTAAGAGGAATTTGCTGCACTTTTTGAAAACCTATTCATTAGCTTTTCATTGATATTTAACCTGGGCAAAAAGAAAAAAACAAACCGAATATAACATTTGAATTTGAATAACATTAAGCCATGTAAAAGCCATGAAAAATATAGCTTTGTTGATTTTTCAAAACTTTGCCTTAATGCCACAAACATTATAAAAAGGCCACTGCATGGTGAAAACTTGTTCAAAACAAAGTTTCTCTGAAAGAAAAGTTTACTTGATGACGGCATCTGAGACTTGTGTATGTCCACAGTATCATGGATGAAAAAGAATTTGAATGGGAATCTCAGCTGAGATTCTACTGGATCCGAGAACCTGATGAGCTCTACATCAGACAGTGCACCGGCTCATTCTTGTACGGCTACGAATACATGGGCCTCAATGGACGACTGGTCATCACACCTCTCACTGACCGCATCTACCTGACTTTAACACAGGCCCTGTCCATGAATCTTGGCGGGGCCCCTGCTGGCCCGGCGGGCACAGGAAAGACAGAGACAACAAAGGACCTGGCAAAAGCTTTGGGTCTTCTCTGTGTGGTTACCAACTGCGGGGAGGGAATGGATTACAAAGTAAGAATATGGATTATTTTACCTTGTTGTGGTGGGGGGTGTGGATTATTGTACCTAGTTGTGTCTGGTGGGGATGGAATGGATTAGGAAGTAAGAATATCAATCATGCCACCTCTTTTAAGCAGGATTAGACCCTGAATTGTAGTGTGTAACTGTAATTGCACAACAGAGAAATATCACATTTATATACATTTTTGGTAGTTAGTTTGACATTCAAGTATTTTACAAATCGTTTGTGTTGAAATTATTTCTGATTCAACTATTTCAACTGATGTAAAACTTATTATTTTAATCCAGTTTTTAAAGGTCTGGAAGATAACCTAAATGCATTTGGTAATGCTGCAAAAAGTGTCAAATGTTTTGCTTTTTTTATTTTAAAAATTCCATTTGAGTGGTTATTTCTTCATGTCTTTGCAGCAGCTCTGCTTTGTCTCATGCTGCATATCTTAATGACCATTCATTGTTTAATGCGAGGCGTCACCAGCTGACTGACTGTCAATTACTTTCTGTGTCATTGGTATGAGATGTTGTGCTTTATGAACTCTGTACACCTCTCACATTGAACTTGAAGCAACAGATTCGAAAGCTGTCACAGGGATATTATAACCAAAACAGTTTTAATTGTACTCTCTCCAGGCCTTTGGGAAAATCTTGTCGGGCCTGTGCCAGTGCGGCGCCTGGGGGTGTATGGATGAATTCAACCGCATTGACATCTCAGTGCTGTCAGTTATATCGACCCAGCTGCAGCTGATCAGACAAGCACTGGTCATGAAGCTGACACATTTCCAGGTACACAAATTGAGTTTTATCTCCTTGTCATGGAAATACTAGTCACTGGGTGTGGTTTTCCTATATTGCTGGAATCTACTCAGCCTACAGAAATGTTAACTCATCTTTGTAGAAATATTAACTAAGCTTGTAGAAGTGTTAACTCAGCTTGTAGAAATGTTAACTCGGCTTGTAGAAATGTTAACTCACCTTGTAGAAATGTTAACCCAGTTTGTAGAAATGTTAAATAGAAATTTAAGACACCTACGGGTAATGTTAACTCAGCTTTGGGAAATATTAAGACACCTATTGGTAATGTTAACTCAACTTTGGGAGATATAAAGACACCTAGGGGTAATGTTAACTCAACTTTGGGAGATATAAAGACACCTAAGGGTAATGTTAACTCAGCTTTGGGAAATATTAAGACACCTAAGGGTAATGTTAACTCAACTTTGGGAGATATAAAGACACCTAGGGGTAATGTTAACTCAACTTTGGGAGATATAAAGACACCTAGGGGTAATGTTAACTCAACTTTGGGAGATATAAAGACACCTAGGGGTAATGTTAACTCAGCTTTGGGAAATGTTAACTCATGCCGTTGATCCTTGTGGTCAGTTTGAAGGAGCTGAGATCCCCTTGGACCATAGAGTGGGTGTGTTCATCACTATGAACCCTGGATATGCTGGCCGCACAGAGCTCCCAGAATCAGTAAAAGCCTTGTTCCGTCCAGTGGTGGTCATCGTCCCAGACTTACAACAGATCTGTGAGATCATGCTCTTTTCTGAGGGATTCCTTTTAGCCAAGGTCATAAATCTTATTTTAGGACATTTTTGATATTTATTTTTTAGTTATAAAACAGGGTTTTTGATTTCTTATTTTATCCTTATTAGAATTATGTTGACCATTCCATGGATGTTAGAATTGTGTTGACCATACCGTTTGTTTAGGAGGGTCAAACAGGCATTATAATCTAGTTCATTTATTGTTCAAATAAAAAGATTAACAGGCAGACCAATAAAATATTAAACTCTTTAAACTCTTTGCTGTCTCACACCTAAAAAACTTTTGGAAACCCACGGAGGGGGGGGGGATTTACCACCAGCTTTCCCATTTCACATCAGCCAGAACTGAACGCACTACTACTGTAATTAATAACTGTTTGATTATTTCACGCATGTTCTTTGTTGTTCAGTGAACTTTGAAGCAAAGGATCACCTCATTTATTTTTTTGTGGTTGTCCATGACTTTCTTAGATCCTGGCCAAGAAGATGACAGTGCTGTACAAGCTGTCCAGGGAGCAGCTGTCCAAACAGTTCCATTATGACTTTGGCCTGAGGGCTCTCAAATCTGTGCTGGTCATGGCTGGGGAGCTGAAGAGGAGTGCTGAGGAGTTGGAGGAGGTAAGTGGGGGGGGGGGGGGGAGGATTGTTGACATTTTTAGCATTAATAATTAGGGGACAAAAAGATACATTAATTTTTTTTATTATATCTATGGTCTTATGGCTGGAGGAATTATTTTTTTTATGCAACCATTTTTTTTTGAGGGGGGGGGGGGGAGAGGATTGTTGACATTTTTAGCATTAATAATTAGGGGACACAAAGATACATTAATTTTTTTTATTATATCTATGGTCTTATGGCTGGAGGAATTATATTTTTTATGCAACCATTTTTCTTTGAATATGAATGTAATTAATGAAACATTTCTGTTATTGCAATAATAACTGTTTAGAAATATAATTTTTAAGTAAGTCCTATTTTTGTACAAATTAATCAACATATTTATGAGATTTAACTCTTTGATTATCCAATAATTTACAAACCTGATGTCTTATATGAATGAATGGATTAGATTTATAACAACTGCATCCAATGTCTTATATTAATGAATAAATTATAATTATATATATGCTCCAATCAACCTCCTCCCCCCCCCCCACCCATGTCAACCATATATAACTATTATTACTCTCTCCCTTTAGTAAACCTTTTAAAACTACTTATAAAATTTTGTGTAATTAAATATAACTTGCCGTTACATTGAATCATATCTGATATATATACTGTGAATTCATACTTGCATTACTCTGTGGCATTACCCAACTTAACTGGACCTTCACACACCACAGTTGGCCCTTCACCAATCACGACTGGCCCTTTACCCATCACAGTTGGCCCTTCACCTACCACAGTTGGCCATTCACCCACCACCACTGGCCCTTCACCCACCACGACTGGCCGTTCACCCACCATGACTGGCCCTTCACCCACCATGACTGGCCCTTCACTCACCACAGTTGGCCCTTCACCCACCACGACTGGCCCTTCACCCACCACACCTGGCCCTTCACCCACCACGACTGGCCCTTCACCCACCACACCTGGCCCTTCACCCACCACGACTGGCCCTTCACCCACCACAGTTGGCCCTTCACCCATCACGACTGGCCCTTTACCCATCACAGTTGGCCCTTCACCTACCACAGTTGGCCATTCACCCACCACGACTGGCCTTTCACCCACCACGACTGGGCGTTCACCCACAATGACTGGCCCTTCACGCACCATGACTGGCCCTTCACGCACCATGACTGGCCCTTCACTCACCACAGTTGGCCCTTCACCCACCACGACTAGCCCTTCACCCACCACGACAGACCTTTCACCCACCACAGTTGGCCCTTCACCCACCACGACTCGCCCTTAACCCACCACAGTTGGCCCTTCACCAACCATTACTGGCCCTTCACCCACCACAACTGGCCCTTTACCCACCATGACTCACCCTTCACCCACCACAACTGGTCCTTCACCAACCATGACTGGCCCTTCATCCATCACAACTGGCCCTTCATCCACCACGACTGGCCTTTCATCCATCACAGCTGGCCCTTCACCCACCACAGCTGGCCCTTCACCCACCATGACTGGCCCTTCATTCACCACAGTTGGCCCTTCACCCACCACGAATGGCCCTTCACCCACCACCACTGGCCCTTCACCCACCACGACTGGCCCTTCACCCACCATGACTGGCCCTTCACCCACCA